ATCCAGTCCTGGGAGTTGGGGGTAGGGTTCCAATTCTGGACTGAGGCTTTGAGGGTGACAGGACTGTCTAACTCCCTGGCACCCTCAACCTGAACTGATTTAGAGGGACAAGACCTCAGAGCCCAGGCTAGAGAGGGAGGAAGCCTGAGCCTGGAGGTTAAAGCCTGGTCTCTGGGCTGAGCTGCTCCCTGGTACTAAAGGCTGGAATGGGGAGCCTAAACAGGAGGGGATCTAGGCCTTACCCGCAGTGCCCAATGCCAGTCTCCAGCTGCCTGCTTCACACTGGAACCTGTGATGTAGCCTAGGCCGCTACAGAGAAGACAGACACACATCAGAGCAAGCAACTGGGCTGAGTGGGAAGTTCTTGTGGGCCTCCCACCCAGAGAGCCTGTGGAAGAGCATGTCCAGGAGTTCTCTACAGCTAGCTACCTGTCTCCATGTCTGCTTAGTTCAGGGTTGGGTGAGTTCAAGGGGACCTTGGCGCTCTTCCCACAAGTCATGGTGCTCCACACTTACCTGCCCAGTGGGATGGCAAAATAGAAGACTGATAGCATAAGTGTGCGTGTGTTCTTGGTAAACAAGTCGCCGATGATGGTGGGTGCTATGGTGGAGTAGCTGGCTTCACCGATACCTACTAGCCCTCGGGACAGGACCAGCAACCAGAAGTACTGTGGAGGAGGACAGAGAATGCTGGGGGACAGGCCATTTCCAGGCTTGCTCATCCCTATCCCATTATACCCTAGCCTGGCAGGGTCCAGGAGCCAGGAGAGAGGATGGAGCCCAGTATTAGCCTCAGCAGCCACAGGCCACATAAGACCCTGGGATACCCCTCAAAATGATGGATCTGACTAGGACTTATCAATTCCAGGTTGGGAGAAGACAAGGTTCTGTGTCCCCACAAGCACTGGGGACTATGTTCTTGGGACATCTTGGTGTCTCTGGCCTCACTTCAGGATCCAAAAGTCACCTTTGCTCTGTACCCTCCCCCAAGTATGGAGGCTAGACAGCCTGATCACATTGAAGACCTAGTGTGTATGGGGAGTGGGCACAGTTGCCTAGTAGGCTCTGAGTCCCTCTTTGATGCACACTTCAAAGGCCAACATGGGGGGAAGGGTGTGGCCATGCCAGCTGCCAGTGGTCCAACCCCTTTGATGTGGACCTGCCTTCCTCTGGCCCCTAACTGCCCGGGGCCAGAGAACCCAGTGTGGCCATGGTTTCCCTGCCCCACCTTACCACCCATCCGGCCAGCATTGCCCACATCCAGCTGTCCCTATTGTCTCTCTCCAGCCATCTCCTGCCACCTCTCTGGCCCCTGGCTGTCTCTGCTGGGAGCTGCTGACCCTGCCTTGACCTTGTCTCACTCTCCCTGGTTCCTGGCATTTCTTTCTGTGCAGACCAACCACCCACAGCCTTTCCTTATTTTTCTATTTTGTTGTCTTGTCTTTTTTGTATAGATTTATATTAGCTTTTTCTACACCACAGGGATACATCCCTTGTCATCTGTGTCACCACTGTTCTCAGCCTTCTTTCTCTCCTCTTTGTTTACTCGGTTTCACCATTCACAGGCTTCCTGATGTCTAATCTGATGCTGTCAAATCTTGATTTTTTTTCCTCCATTCCTTGTTCAAGAAAAACTATTCCAGCCCCAAAGTATAAAAATATCCTCTTCTATTTCATGTTTGAAACAATTTGGAGAGAGGCATCAGTTCTGTTCAGCACTCTAGCATGCTAAAGTGACTCTGTCCCCACCCCACACAGGGGTCAGCCAGGTTGATGCTGTGTCTGTCCTATGCTGCACACATAAGTACCAAGAAACAGCATTTTAGTGTCCTCTCTGTTTGCAACAAGTGGACAGAAAGGGGGCTGCTCCAGTTGCTTTAATCCACTACTTGCTTTCTTATCTTTTGAGATATATGCATGATGGCTGACATTGAGCTAGCTCGTTCTTCCACTGGCCACTCAGTATGAATATACCTAGAATATCTATGCTGGCCCAGTGGTGGTCATTTAGCCTGTCTTCCTTCCTTCCTTCCTTCCTTCCTTCCTTCCTTCCTTCCTTTTCTTTGTGTGTGTGTGTTTGTGTGTGTGCACACACGTGCACAAGAAGTATGTGCATGAGTGTGTGCAGGAACACAGAGGCCAGGAGTTAATGCTGGGCATCTTCCTCTATTATTGCTCTCCATCTTATTCATAGAAACAGGGTCTCTCACTGGACCTGGAGCCCACCAAGTAGCTATACAGTTAGCTCCTAGGAGCCAGCCATCCTCACTCCCCTGGCCCTGGGGTTACAAGAGCACACCACCACACTTGGCTTTTAGACAGGTTGCTGGAGATCTAACTGAGGCCTCACAGGAAGCACTCCTATCCACCAACCCATCTTTTCAGCCTCTCTTTCTTTCTTTTGTTTTTTAACATATTTATTTTTTAATTGTGTGTGTGTGTGTGTGTGTGTGTGTGTGTGTGTGTGTGCAGTGCCAGAGTCCAGAAGAGGAAGTTAGATCCCCTGGAGCTGGAGTCAAAGGTGGTTGAGAACCACCCTATATGGGAGCTAAGAACCAAAGTTGGGTCCTCTAGAAGAGCAGTAAGTACTCTCAACCACTGAGCCATCTTTCCAGCCTTCCCTGACCACAGGAGGATTCTGAGCTTTGTCTGTCCACATGCTGGAGTTTTTCTAGGCTGTGTCCCTCCAGACAGAAGCTGGGACACAGCTGAGATTTACAGTATCTTGCCATTCTGATCTCCAAAGAGGTTCCACCAATTTAAACTCCCATCAACATCTAGGCATCTCTGGGATCCCCACAGCTGTGCTTTTTAATTGTTGCCAATCTGATGGATTGTTGTTTTGTTTTGCATTTCTCTGATTCCTCTGGAGGCTGAGGTATCTCTTCCTCCATTCATTGGCCATTGGTCATGTTCTGGAATGCCTTGACAACCGTTTGCTTATTTTCCTACATTATTGTCTTTCTCTTGTTTGTTTATAGTTTAGGTCTCTCAGTCTTGCTTTGGTTTTCACTTCCCCATTCGTAGTTTATTCTGCCCAGTGGTTGACATAGTACCCTTTCCCCCTGAGCTACTGGTGAGAGATGTGCCTTCAGCCAGCACTGGCTCCCCACTCCTTGGGGCCTTGCTTCATAGATCTACCATCGCTTAGTCTGTCCCTTGGCTCCTTTAGTCAGAATGGCCATTGTTTTGACAACTGATAGGGCAAACCCCATTCACTGTTATCTTTTACATTGTTCTTGGCTGTTTGGAACATTTTCTCTGCCAAATTAACTTTAAAATCACATTGCCAATGTCCCCCCAAAAGCCCCTGTGGGGCTTGAATGGTGATCACAATGAGTGCACAAAGCAATTGAAAGTGGTCTGTTTGTTTCTCTCTTTGACTCTTGTCTCTTCTCCCTTATACAGAAGGATCAAGGCCTAGACTTATTCATTGATCAGTCCCAGAAGCAGCCCCAGGGGCCCAGTCAGGGGCACGGCAAGGCACAGAGGGCTCTGAAGGCTCCTAGCTTGGTCCTTTTGTTTCTATGGTGACCATCAGGCCCCATCCTGCACTGGGCCTGGAATTGCCTTGGACCTGACCCACCTCCCTGAAGCAAAGTCAGCTCCTGCACACCTGTGTGGTCCACCAGTCAGCATCTGGCTCATCCCTGTCCTTCAGACTCTTCCAGGGCTCAGAGCTGCTATAGGAAGAAGGACTGTGCCTCATGCCAGGCACGCAAGACCTTCCTTGACCTGGTCTCTGCTTTCCTTTCCAGCCACAACACCCTTCTCTTTCTCTCAACACAATCCACTATCTCTGCATTTTTGGGTATGGCCCCCTGCCTGTGCCAGCTTCACCATAAATCCTGGCTTCTCAGTCATGTCTGCTAGATTCATGTGTCACCTCCTCCAGGAAGCCTTCTTAGAACCTATGGACCACAAGGGCCAGTTCCTCTTCAGTGTTCAGCACTTTCCATAATTTGAAGGCTATGAGCCTGATGCTCCTGTCACATCTTCCCACCCCCATCTCTCAGGGACAGGGACAGACAGAAAGCTCTTGAGGTGTTGGTTCTTCCTCCATCGATCCCCACAGAGACTATCACATGGCTGACTAATCCTAGCCATGAGAAGCTCACTGCCCTCATGAGACCACACAGGCCTTCTTGGAAAGAACGAACAGAAAAGAGGATTTGCTGGACACTGCCCATGCTACACAGCTGGATGTGCATCAACTCAGTTGCCTCTCACAGAGGATCAGCCCGAGTAGGATTATTCCCATTTTAACAATGAGGAAACTGAGGCTCAGAGAGGTGAAAAACATTTCTCCAGGTCACAAAGTTGGGATATTCAAACCCAGGACTGTGAAAGCCAAGGGTATTTCTTCTTTCTTTCTTTCTTTCTTTCTTTCTTTCTTTCTTTCTTTCTTTTGCCAAGGGCATTTCTTAAAAGAAACACCTTGATGTTGAATTGCCACTTGCTGTTCTGGGACTTGGATTCAAGGAGATGACTGGTCATCAAAGAGCTAAGTGAGCCAGAAACAGAGAGATTCGGAGACTAGACTAGGTTTGCACAGCAAGGGAACTTGCAGGGGTGGGGGGAGGGGGAGTAGGACAGGAGGCCAAGGCCCTTATACGTAGGGCAGACTTATTCCCTGTTCCTGACATCCTGCCAAGCTAGAGGCTGCTCAGAGAGTCAAGTTGCCACGCAGGGCTGCAAGCCTCTTAGTTCAGGTCAGTACAGAGGAGACCCTGTCTGCAGGGCTGGTTTATAATTGAACCCAAAGATACCTGCTATGGCTTTGCCTTGGGGATGGAGCTCAGGAGCAGGCCTCAGACTACAGCACAGACCAGCCCTCCTTGAGGGACCTGTACACTGGACAAGGCAGGGGGAGGGGGAAGCAGGAGAACCATGGGGACCTCACCTGCTGAGGGACGAAAGAGCTAGAGAAGGTGACGGCTGACCAGAAGAAGATACCACAGCTGAGGATCACCTTCCTATTGAATCGGTCACCCAGGTAGCCGAAGATGGGGGCAGCCACCATGAAGCTGCAGATGAACACTGTGGAAAGAAGAGAGGAGAACTGGAGGGTGTGCACGTCCTGGCTAAGGCCAAGTGCAATGAGACACAGCTGAGCCTGGATCCAGACAGAGGAAGCAGCTTTGGGAAGACAACTTCAGCACCTGGTACACAGAGCAGGCAGGGGGATGCATGGGATTAGGGAATATGGGGCTCTATCTCTTCTATCACCACCGGCTTATTCTATGTCCTGTGAGCCTTGGAATACTCAGTCACACAGAGTGACAGCCCAAAGCTTACCATAACACCTCCAGGAGCTTCCCATCTCATAGATGAGGTTGAGATTCAGAGGGAAAGTGACTTGCCAAGGCCCCACAGGTAGAAATGCCTAGCCACTGAGTCTGAGTTTATGTGCTGTTGGGGATCAAACCCAGGGCTTCATGTATGACAAGTAAGCACTCTACCAACTGAGCTACATCCCCAGCCCATATTGTTTTAAGACAAGCCCTGGCTGGCATGGAGCATGCTATGAAAACCAGGCTGGCCTCAAACTCACAGAGTTCTTCCTGCCTCTGCCTCCCAACTGATGGGATTAAAAGTGTGCACCACTGCGCCTGGCCTGCATTGCTTTCTATATTATATCTGAGAAAGGGGCCGGAGAGATGGCTCAGATGTTAAGAGCAATTTTTGTTCTTGCAGAAGACTCAGGTTCAGTTCCCAGCACCTGCATGGCAGCTCACAACTATCTGTAACTCCAGTTAAAAGGGAATTTGATGTCCTCTTCTGACCTTTGCAGTCACCAAACACGCATGCAGTACTTGCACGTATACAAAAACATTCATATACATAAAATAATAAAGAAAAACCCTTTACAAGCACTTAAGAGAAAGAGAGATTCAGAGAAGGCAAGGGATCTGATACCCTAAGGTCATGCAGCAAATCAGGGCAAACTTGAGCCTGGAACTCCAGGTCTTACCCTCTGCCAGGTGGCTCAGCCACCTTTACTCCCAGCAGGCTGTAGAGGCTCTCCTGAACACAGGAAACCTTGCCACTCACTTATTCACTGATGCACGCATGTAGTTATCCATTTAGAAAGTAGGGGGAGGAACATGTCTAAGTTACTGTCCTAATGCTATAAAGAGACACTGTGACAAAGGTAAATTATAAAGGAAACTGGGGACTTCCTTACAGTTTTAGAGGGTGAGTTCATGGCCATCATGGTGGGGAATGTGGCAGCAGGCAGGCAGGCATGATGCTGGAGCAGTAACTGAGAGCTTACATCTTATCCAAAGGTTGGAGGCAGAGAGGGAGCTAAAGGGGATGCTGTAAGCTTTTGAACCCTCAAGGCCCACCCCCACGGCACACCTCCTCCAAAGCCACGCCTCTTAATTCTTCCTAAACAGCCAACTGGGAACCAAGCACTCAAGTCCATGAGCCTGTGGGGTCATCCTCATTCAAACCACCACACTTTTATAAGTCACCTTGGTCATGGTGTCTCTCCACAGCAACAGAACAGTAACTAAGACAGGACATCTACAACATACTAACATTAGGTATCTGGGATTCATGAGTGAATGAACACAAGATTCCTGCCTGCTTAGGACTTACATTCTAAGGAAGAAAAACACATAGATAACACAATAGCAGTAATGACTAATAAGCTGTGTAAGATGGTGAGAAATACTAGGGAGGATCAAAGGGAAGGGACAGATTACAGTCTGGGAAGTTTCGCCTTAGCAAAGGCCTGCAGGAGGCAAGGAAACATTTACAGAAATACTGGGGAGAGCAGGCAGGAGTGCACTTAGCATGTCTGTGGGGCAGGAAAGAGACCAGAGTGTCTGCAGCAAAAGGATGGAGTGGGGAGGGGTGGAGGACAAGGTTGAGAGGCCAGATGGAGTGGGATCCTCCATGTCAAAGTCAGAAGGGTACAGAGCAAAGAATTAATGACTAAGGACAAGAACACAGTATAAAATCTTGTGGGACTTGCAGAGAATACCACTGTTAGTGGTGGGAGGGGCTTTGCATTCCAGGTGAGATAAAGAGGCTCAGGTAAGGCAGGTAGGGGTCAACCACACCACAAGGCAGGCAGTCCCCTCTGTTCCACGGAAGGCAGTCCCACCACCAGCATGCAGATAGCCAGACAACACTGGCCTCTGCCTGCTGGTCTCATGTGTGCTGGCTTAGTAGCCCCTGGCAGAGGGGGTGTGTGTGCAGCATTTAGGAAGAAGGAGTAATGAAGAGAGGAGGGACGTGAGCAGGGCAAAGTGAGCTGTGGAGGAACATGAAAGATCCTTCTCTCTGCTGAACTTGAAAACACAGGACAGAGGACCTGGTAATTCAGGTCTGTAATTTAGGCCTTGAGCAGAATCAGTCATGTGCCTCAGACACACTGTCCAGGGTTCAAGCTTAGATCTGCACCTTCTGAGCTAGACCCTTTGCCAGGTCACATCTACGTCCCAGCTTCATAGATGAACTGATAAATGTGTAAAAACAGGTTCTCTAGAAGGGGGCAGAGGAGGGGCCCCATGATGCCTGGAGATTGTACATCTCCATAGTACAAACACTCCCTGGGGCCAAGCCACCAAGTATATATGAAGCTCAGAGCTCAGTACCTTCCCAATCACAGGCGTTCCCCACCATTCAGTTACAAGGAGTTCACCTCAAGCATACTGGCAATAGTCTGATGTAGTAGTAATTAGGAAGTGATGGCTTCTGAGCATTTATCAGCTTCTTTTAATACAAATCACTCAGTTGTAAGTTTATATAATTTAGTTCTGAACAATGGCTCTGTCTAACAAGAAGCTCACACAATTCCTAAAAATTTAACAATCAACTCTCATGAGCCAGTCTGAGCCAGCTCTCCACGCCAACTTCCTCATCTGTAAAATGAAGATAAAAATAGCTGCTGCTCTGGGTGGCTTGAGTATTGGATGAGGCAGTGCGGGGGAAGGTGCTTCACGCCCTGCCTCCCTGGGTCAACAAGGCTCTTGTTTACATTAGCCAGGGCCAATATTATTTCCTTACATCTACAGAAAGAATGCTTTCTTGTCAGTCCCGCCTCCCAAGACCTGCCCAAGATCAGATCAGAATGTGGACAAGGAAAAGCTTAGTGGCAAGGAGCTTATGCGTGTTTGGGGAAGAGGAACAACTGCCTTCTGTATGCCTGTCTGAGCTGGGTGGGGAGTGGGCAGAGAAAATCAGAGTAGGACACGGCTCTTGTCTGGCCAAAGTGCAGTTCTATCCATGAATTGCACAGCTCTAAGTATTTAAAGCCTGGGAACCAGCAAGGAGCATCAAATCCTGGTGATGTCAAAGCAGGCAATAAAACATGCTTAGTATTCACCATGAGGATAAGGATAACACTTCGTGTGTGTGTGTGTGTGTGTGTGTGTGTGTGTGTGTGTGTGTGTGTGTGTACATATATATATATATGTATAAACTTTATATTATATGTAAATTTCAAGTCTTCTAATCATATTGTCTGATAGTTAACGAAGCATGACACTTATTATTGATAATGCCTGCCATTGTCATTGATGGATCACTTATTACAGGCCAGGCCTTGGACACACTCTCAGCATATGCATTCATCATCTCAGTCAGATTCTTGCTATTAACGTCATTTTACAGAGGAGACAGCACGGCTGAAAGAAGTGATGTCACATGGCAAGTGTGTGGCTGAACCAGAATTAAACCTCAGTTTAGCTGACTCTAAAGCCCTTGCTCTAAATCACATCACTTGCTGCCAGACTAGGAAGGAGATAGTCCCCACAGAAACCCCTGAGGTCAGAGAACGATCAGGGTGTAGTGGGACAGCAGGAGATGGGTCAGACTGTAGTATGAGAAGGACACAGAGGGTCCCTAGACATCAGGACTGGGCTTGCATTCTGAGCCATAGCATGGTCTCACCCACCTTTGTGAGGAGGAGCACTTGGAAAAGTTCCCATTGGGTGACTAAAGGAACCTGAAGCAAGCAGCCAGGCCTTAGCCATATCACACTGTCTTCAACAGGGCAGTCTTCTGGCTCTCCCACCGCTGATTTTTTGCTCATGCGGTGGGCAGGAACACAGGGGCTGAGTAGGCTCCTGTAAAGCAGCAGTGCACCTGTTCCCACTGCCAGTCTAGCCTGCCACTCCCTCAAGCTCAACTCCATCAGAAATCTTGAGCTCTACTTTTCTGTACCCACATTACAGCTGGGACCACTGAGGTCCCACGGGATAGAGGAACACACTCTGAATGACATAGCAAGACCAGCATGGGCTTCAGTGCCTTCCCCTTAGGAACAAAGGAATCCAGGGTCAGGAATGTGTGGGTCATCTTTGCAGCCTCATCCCTTAGGCTCCTCCTAGTCCTCAGAAACATCACTGGCCAGCGGCAGGCCTTGTGCCCTGTCAGGATAGAGACTGGAGGAACAGTCCAGGCAAAGGCCTGGACAGTGAACTATATCCCACGGGAACAATGGGCACTGAGAGGCTTTCAAAGCCAGCAGGCTGCTCTGCTGGAAATAAAGACCAGCAACAGCTAGAAGCTTCCTGTGCCTTCCACCCCTGCCCCATGGTCTTTGTGGGAGAAGAGCTTTCAGACCAGGCGGCTGCCCCACCCCCAACCTCAATGTAGAAACAGTGGCTTTCCCGGCAGTTCCCGCATACACGAGGACATCCTGTGGCCAGGGTGTGGGGAAGACCTCACTCAGCTCACGCTTGCTGAGCCCACAGGTCTCGGACAATGGAGCTGTAGGGCAAGGAGCCAGGCAGAGGGGGCAGGGTAACTGGGCTACTGCTGATGGGAGGAGTCTAGCTTAGTATCGGAACTCAGGCGCCAAGCTTCACTCTCTCTCCTTCGCAGAGCTGGCTCAAGGCCATCAGAAAAAAATGGAAGGGAGCCTGGGAGTGGGAGGGGTGTGGAGGGGAAAGGGGTGCCAGGCATCATGGATGATTCATGTAACCCTAGCACTCAAGAGACTGAAGCAGGAGGATTACATGTTTGAGACCAATTTGAGCTATATAGCTGGTTCTAGGCCAGCCTGGGATTACATAGCAAGACTTTGTT